ACTAGATTCTTGTTCATAGTAGGGACATGTTGCACGTTCCTTAGTTGCACGATCTTTCCCGAAGTAAACTTCAGATCCACCGTGCCAATGCCACGAACAGAAGCATGTGAACCATTCCCCATTAGGACGGAAGAATCCCTTGCGACCTGATAAGAAGTAAACAGGGAGATGTCAGCACACACATGAACGTTAGCACCCGAATCAATCCACCATGAAGATGATTGAAATACTGAAAGCACAATAGGTAAATTACCATACCCATCAGTATTGCTAGCGGTCACCATGTTGACAGTCTTGGAGCTTGTTTTCCCTCTACGGTCTGCACGTTCAGGGCATTCCTTGGAAAAGTGTCTAGGCTTCCCACAGGCGTAGCACTCTAGCTCAGCCTTGTTGAACTTCTTCTTCTTGAAGGTAGTAGTCTTGGTAGGCTTGTTGGAAACAGGTTTGTTCTTCCCTTTGTTCTTGTTCTGTGGGTACCTCTGCACCATGTTAGCAGTAGGCTGAACCTCATCTCCTTTTTCAGTGGTATCTTTAGCCCGAGCTTTTTCTTCAACATCAAGAGATGCAATCAGATTTTCAACTGATATCTCCTGTCTCTTATGCTTCAGAGTTGTGGCGAAATTCCTCCATGAAGGAGGCAACTTTGCAATCATGCACCCAACCACGAATTTGTCGGGTAGAACACATTTAAGGAGTTCAAGTTCCTTCACAATGCACTGTATCTCATGAGCTTGTTCAACCACAGAACGGTTATTCACCATCTTGTAGTCATGAAAACTCTCCATGATGTACAGTTCACTGCCTGCATCTGTTGCACCGAATTTTGCATTCAGTGCATCCCACAGAATTTTTCCGTCGTTTATGTGCATGTACACATCACACAGACGGTCAGCAAGAACACTCAGAATGCATCCCACAAACATAGTATTGGCTTCCTGGAATTTTCTCCGATCTTCGTCGGTCATTCCCTCTGGAGCACCAACACTAGCGTGGAAAACTTTCAGAGCAGTAAGCCAGAGCGTGGTCTTCACCTGCCACCTCTTAAAGTGCACACCAGTAAACTTATCCGGCCTCAGTGCATCAGCGAATCCAGCCATAGTTAACTCAGGAAATTGCCTATAATTAGGTTTTTGGATTGTTGGAATATTAGGCAAGTTCATGATTAATTCTAGTAAATAATTCATGACTAGAAGAGATACTAGCATGCAATAATCTAGCAAACTAGAAGAACAGCAAGACATGCATAACAGCAGCAAGCAGGTAACAATAGCTGTAGAAACAGACATGAACAAAGGATGTTTGACGTACTGATCGTTAGCTATTATGGGTGCGACAGTGTTGATGACGATGTTGGCGACGATCTGCTGCTGACGGCGATGAATACGACGATGAGTAGCACCGCCCGACTTGGACGGAAGACGACCCGTGATGACGAATTTGAGCAGTCGCGCACAGCGCTTCCCAAAAACCTAATTCGTCCTCTCCCGGTGCAGGATCGCAAAGACGAACGGTTCTGGAGACCTGCTCTCCCACGCGCCGATGCACGCCGGCGTTTGGGATGGAGTAGACTACGATGGCGGCGCAAGTTGTGAGATGAGGCAAAACCCTAGGTGTTTTTTCGGTGTATCTCTGGCAGCAGCCGGTAGCTGTATATATATTAGGACCAGAGGCGGTATTGTGTCGCGACCACAATCCCAAACCGACTCGGTGAAATCAAAAACTTGTCTGTCAAGACATAAAAATAAAACGGCAAAAGGAAGCTGCGCTCCTGCGAGGAGACGGACCGGATTTCGGCGGACCATTCACGCGCATGTTGCATGTACGCCCCGAGGCGAGCGAGTGCGCGCGTGTGGTTTTTCCTTTCTCTTCTCACACACCACTTAGAGTGGTGGAGAGAACTCACTATATAAAGAGGTCCAACTCTTCTTCAACTTCCAAGGTGGGACTAAACTTAGCACCACCACTTGCCATTTTACACATGGGCTTTGAGATTACAGAAATTGCTATGGGCCTAGCCCATTAATTCTAACAAGAACGGGGTGTTGTCGCCAGCGACAGCCACGTCTATCTCTGGCCGCCGCTTCTGGCTCGTCGTGTTCCTCGCATTGCTCACATGCATGTCCCTGCTCATGGTCTTCTCCACGGTCCGCGCGCCGTCCGGGGCGGCGTCGCCACGGGTCACGTTCCCGGCCCCGGCGTCCGTGCTGCGGCGGGTCATGAGTAATGTGCTCCCGTGCTGCCCCAACGTCCCCGATGTGGCGGTAGGCCCGACGCAGCGCGGGAAGGGGAAGGCGACGGGGAGCCGTCGTAGGAGGCGAGGACGGGCCTGATGCGGCGCGCCGTGGAGCTCGGCGCCAAAAGAACGGAGGCGCAGCGGCCTCTGTTCATGGCCAACAAGGCCAGCGACACCCCGCTGCACCAGGTTGTGCAACACGGCAGGAGGGCCAGGCGCAGGAGACCAGCCTCCGCGGCGACGTGCCCGCTGGCGCCAGGCGCAGGAGCAAGACGACGTCGACGCGGTGGGGGTGTCCCCAGGGCCTCCCTCGCGCAGGAGCTGCACGACCCAGAGCACCTCTTCACCCAACATTTCGTCGCCAACGGCCGCGTGCTCGCCCAAGCCGACGGCCTCATGGTTAACTCCTTCAACGCGTTGTAGCCGGACGCCATGGCGGCACTGTACGACCATGAGCCCTTCTCGTCAACCCTGCAAAAAATAAAATATTGATGTGAGTAATTTAAATGAATCCTTAATTTTGTTGTGTGGCTTCTAATAAAATAGAGATGACAGATAACCAGTGTAACCACACTTGTCTTATGGGGGGTCCGAACTGGGTCTATTTTCATGTCTCTCGCCGGTACCGTCCGGCTTAAATAACCGGGTCAGGTAGAGCAAGGGTTGAATGCAGAGCGTCGGAGTAGGCTTCTCGGGCTTCATCCCTTGTGAATGCAGGGTTGGCAAATGACCGGTCATTCGAGACGCGAATACGGGCAGTCGGCCGGCCACGTCCGCTCAAAATGCACAGAGGGTCCTCAAGACGGCGCAAAGAAAGAAGGGTTTTGGTTGGGTCGTGCTGTCAGATTCCGAAGTGGCGGACGTCCAAATATGTTCGGATATTTTAAGTGACCTTGGTTGGATGACCAAAATTGTTCGGACCGGGATTTGCGGTTGATTTGCTAATCCTCGTTGGAGTTTCCCCTCGACCTTTTTGCAAATGTATTAAGTACCCAAAAAAGTATGAAGTCCTCTCGTTACCACCGGCACTGGCATGTGGCTAGCGTTGTTGGATGTATCATATTCTGAGTCAACACCCACATGAATGAAATATTAATGCTTGTCTTAAAATCCTCTTCTACCACAATACAATAAATATCAATATAAAAGTATGATGTAAAATGGACGTATCAGCCTTTTCGGTAACCTGACAAGGAAAAGGGGTCCCTGTTCATTGAACAGCTAAGATAGGCAGAACTAGCCGTGACAAATCGGTGGAAGGTGCAGTCGCCAGAGATTGGCTAGCAGAGTGTTTGTCTCTGTCAGTCGTCAAATCAAGAAATGTGACTCAGTGGAGGAGGCTGAAGCAATGCATGCATCCGTCAGAGTGGCTGCCCTAACGAAGTTGTACCCGGGGGGCTTGATTCTAGAGCTACACTGTGCGGCGGTGGTCAAAGACCTCACGTCCAATGAGCCAGTGTCCTCGGAGTGCTTACCACCGATCCATGATATTAAGTGCATGTTCGGCAACGAACCGCTCCAACTGTTCCGCTCCGCTCGGCGCTGAAATGCGAAGCGGCAGAATGGCAGCTCCACCAAAATGAACTGTGCTCCGCTCCGCTCCGCCACTTCAGCTCCACGGAGTTGGGAGCCGGAGTGTTCCCGAACGGGCCCTAAGCTCATGCAGAAATGGTTCAAGTCTACGGTGGTGATTGCTGTTAAACGCGGCCGCAATGGCCTAGCCAATTCCCTAGCGGCTCTGACAAAGACAAAAGGCAACCAGGACAAAATCGATAACATCTCGGATGATGTACGTGAGCTATGGCTCACTGAATGTACCCATAACTCTGAATGATGTTTATTCAGGTTATTCTAAAAAAAAATTAGTGTGTTGTCTCGTTTCATCGTTATAGCTTAGGGCCGCCAGCCAAGTTTATGTTCCGTTTCCAATGATGTGTATACTAAAAGCACACACTCAAAACATAGTTTGTCATCTAATCATAATGTAATTAACACCAAAATCCTTATTAGAGGCGCGTGTCCTTTCAAACACATATCAAGATAAAGACCATAGGAAGACACACACGAACAAGATCGAACAATAGAGGATTGTCATGACATAGGAAGATAACGATCTTCTCAAGTGTCGCTCTCCGGCATCTGCATTTTCGGGAGGGGCTTCGCCTCAAGGGAGACAAGTGTCACACATCCCATGCTACCGCCTATGAAAATGAGGTCACCCACTAAAAAAATATAAAGAAAACGGGAAAATTTGTGGGACATGAAGGTAAGTGTGTATGTGTTATTGGGCCCACCTATCTCCGCATCGTGACCAAAGGCAATGAGGCGATGATGTTTGTCAAGGTCCAATGTCAACCCTATCTGTTGGCGTCGTGACGTGAGAAGATCACGTCGTACTCAAGCGCCGCTTTGCGATGAGTGTCACGCCTCCCTTGCTAAAGGCGACGAGAAGGAGCTACCCGGATACAAAATAAACAAAAGGGGTAGTTGGGATGGGTATGAGCTGGCTATGCAGCAAAAGCGCGTGTGTGTAAGGGATGCTGAATGAAAGCGTTTGTGAACACCTCGCCTCTTCCCCGCGTTCTCATCCTGTTGAGCGTCTCTTCTCTACCCGAATTCTCCAGTCCCTGATACAAATCAACGCGATCTCATCATAGACGAGGCACTACAAGTGCTCATCCTTACTCTAGAAACCTTCGCCACATCAGTCGACCCCACGTTTTGATTGCGGTTGGCTGCGAAGGTGAGCGAGGGGAAGGCGGTGCAGATGAATCGGTTGGGCGGCAGTGGCATTGGCGGCGCCGATGTGCCACCGCTGCAGCATCAGCGGAGGGAGGATGTGATGGGCCTTGGCGATCCCATGCTAGTGACGCTGCGCAACAATTACCGCCAGAGGATGTAAGTGCTTTACTACTTCTATCTCCGTAGAAATTTATGTAGGATGTGGTGGTGCCCACTAGTTATTCAATCAGGGGTTTCAAGTGTATATATGCACTGAATTAGAATCAACTTTCACACAGCACCGAGATTGATAACCTTCCTTTTTCTCAAAAAAAAAGATGGTTGATAACCTTCCCTTATTTTGCAAGGTCTTGTTTGACATAATTTCCAAAACACGCGAGGTGGGGGCACATGAAAGCCTTCTTTATTTGATTCTATTTCCTTGTTCTTGAATTGCCAGAATGGAGCATGCACGATGGGAGGTAACTGCGAGATTATATGAAGGAAAGAGGGTACCTGCTGACTGGCAGCGGGGGCTGCCGGAACTTGCTAGGCGGGTCGAGAAAGTCTTGTTTGAGAAACACCCAAACAAGGTGCGCTCTGTTTACTTGTTCTTTTGTACGTATGTACCCCTCGTCCATCTCTTGACTAGGAAGGTAATGTTAGGAATAAGCATCTTTTTACTTATTCTTTTGTATGTAAGTATATCCCTCGTCCATCTCTTGACTAGGAAGTAATGTTAGGAATAAGCCACCGTGGTAGTGATCAGTGTGCGTGTGTGTGCGTGCTGGTCGAACCGGGCGCTGGTGAGTGGCCTCGTCGTGTCCATAGGCGTGTGTGAGTGTGCGCGCGCGTGCTGGTCGAGCCGGGCACTGGTGCGTGGCCGTGTCGTGTCCGTAGGCGTGCGTGTGTGCGTGTTGTGGTGGTGCGTGAGCTAGGCTCGCGTTCGAGTCCGCCAGCGTAGGGCTAGGTCGTTGACGTAGATAGCGGGGTGAGCGTGGCGATCTGTTGCAGGCCCGCCGCGTCACGCACACGTGGGAGCGCGTCGTAGGCACGGCCAGAGCGACCGGATCGCGCGCTCGAGTGGGTAGGAGGCGTGAGGGTCGTGCCCTAGTACTGGCGCGGGTATAAAGCCCGTGTTCTGGGACATGGATTTTTACTAACTCTATGCGCACACAACTGAAATCGCTGCCACTCATCAAGCGTGATGTCCAATCGACATGGGCCACCACCGTGTCAGTCATGCAAGTCCTTTATATTCTTTGTCAGAAGTGGCTGCATTCATCACGTTTTGAGGTGGTAATACTAGACTGCAATACTTTTTAGTTGGGCGCCTAACCAACCTGGATGCTAATTAAGATCTCACATTCAGAATTAATATTTTGGGATTCCTTTCTTTCACACACCACGAACTAACAATCACACTGTGTATATAAAGTTCTTCTATTTTTTATGGCAAAGTTCAGAAACCGTGTTAACAAAGTTCTTCGGCTTCAGATAAAATTTCTAGCAAAGTTCTTTAATATTTCTAACAAAGTGCGGACCTACAATCTATAAAGTTCTTCACTGTTTCAAACAAAAATATTTTTCAAATGTATCCAAACCAGATCTTGTTCTAAAGGGCTTGGCACCACGAGTTCAAATATGTAAAAAGTTTAAAAAACACAATTTTGCTTTGAAAGATATGAATCATCTAAATTGTCAGAGCAAAATAAAAGGTGATTTAATTAGAAGGGAGAGGGAAGATAAAGTAGGCATGCATGTGTCAGTATGTGCAGCGTGTGTGCAGGGAGAGAGAGAGAGGAAAGAAACATGCACATGCAAGGGGCACGCATCCACATGAATAAGCAACGCTAGGGATTCGCGTTGTGCGCGCAAAGCGTTAGGATTCACCATATTCGCGTGTTCTGTTCGTTGTAACGGCAGGGTGCCGGAGTTTGAACTTGAGAAGAAACGCTGTCTGTGCAGCGAGGCTTTCGTCGCCGAAAACCGCCACTGCCCCCTCTTTCTTCTTCCTCCGTTCGAGCATGAGTGTGTGAGAGAGAGAGAGCTAGGGTTTAGACCCGACATGTAAATCGCTGTCTCATCATTTTTTCTGATGATATCACCTTTCACCTGTTGTTTCGGCAGTGGGAGTACTACAACATGACGAATGGACCAGTTGAGCCACATTTCGAGTTTGCTGTGACCTCGCTTGCTCAGATTCAGAGGCAGAGAGCATCTTCCACTGCGTATGCTCATGGGGGCATGATACCGGCACCTGGTGTCACGCAAGGTGCTTACTACAAATCGTTGAATGTTTTTTGTGGCAGACAACAACATCTGCTGCAATAATCCTGGTTCTCCATCCAGTTACCTCACTGCAATTTGCACATGATGTTTTATTTACTGAGCTTCTGCAATTAGCTTAAAGATCAAAGTGAAATTTTAACCTTAAAGATCCACCATTAGGAATTAGCTTGACGTATCTTCTTCCTTGAGACTCTTAATTTCCCTTTTGCTTAGCATAACGTATGAACCAGAGCAGAGCTGAGATATCAAAATGTTCACTGTCAGTGACCATCTATATGCTATTAATCTTATATAGAGCATTATGCTAGCTAGTGTGCCCTGTAAATCTTGCTTCCAATTTATTAGCTTGGTTTGCGTTGCTTTCTTTCCAGGGGATACCTCCAACGAGCTTGTGAACACACTACTATCTCTGGGGATAAACTCTAGCGATGACCTCTCAAAAGTGTCGAACAGCAACTTGGTAAGAACACTACACTGGACTTCACCCATGGTAACGTGTTACGCTAGTTTTATCAGCTCATCACTACTACCTATATATGGAAACGCAGGCAATCCGTGCACCTGTTAAGAAGGAGGTCTCAGAGGAACCAAAGTTCAGCTGTCCATTCTGCTTCGACGAGCTGGTCGATGCGTCATCAACTATCTGCGGCCACATCTTCTGCCACAAGTGCATCAAGTTCTCCGTCCAGGCTCAGAACAGGTGCCCTGCCTGCTGGAGGGGACTCACCATGAACAGCTTCCACCGCGTCTACCTCCCTGCTACCATGGACTAAACTGATCCAGCCCTTCTCGTCGCTGGCATTTCATCATCCTATCTGAACTATTATTCACAGGGTTATCGTTACCATTCAACTATTGGTACTCGGGGGGCGTGTTACCGATCTGCATCCGCCGCTTGTAATAAACCGTAGTCTCTTCCTGTGGGAAATCAAAACCTGTGCTTGGCACCTTGAAAATATATATTCTGATCGTTAAGGTATATTTGGTTGTTTGCGCGCTCTGCAGTATGGCCTGACACATATTTGAAGATTTGGTCTTGCGTTGTCACCTTTTTTTGAGTCTCACAAGTCACAACCTTATTAATTGGCAATAGTTCTGGAGGTACAAACGCTGAGTGGCGGAGGGCCAAGCCATACATATGGAGGCTGGGGGTGCCATAGATAGCAGAACGAGCATAAGGCCACCTCGGAGAACTCACTTAGCATAAGCCATACATGGAGCTTCCTTGTTGCACTCACTTGCATAAGGCTACCGAGGAGAACTCCGAGGCTTGCGCCTTCTCTTCTCATATGATTTGTCCATACTGACAGAACCAGAATCCCTTGTCACCAGTTGCCTCCCTTGTCAGCACCTCCACAGGTGCCCTCATGTCCTGCTTGGTCTTCTCACCAACTGCACCTGACTGCTCCACCAATGAATCAGTTTTGCGGTTAGTGGCGAGAGATTGAGTAATCTTTCGGTCTTCATAGGCTTCTATCTTGATGAAATTCAAACTGCTGTCCCTCTTGCAAATATCATCCAAATTTTGGTTGAGCATCTTGATGCGGGTGCCGATTGTCGTGGTTCTAAGTCTGACAGTAGAGTGGGGGGTAGGTATAGAGAGGCAAGGTCCTAGCTATGGAGAGGTTGTAAACACAAGGGATGTACGAGTTCAGGCCCTTCTCGGAGGAAGTAAAAGCCCTACGTCTCGGAGCCCGGAGGCGGTCGAGTGGATTGTATGTATATGAGTTACAGGGTGCCGAACCCTCCTGCCTGTGGAGGGGGGGTGGCTTATATAGAGTGCGCCAGGACCCCAGCCAGCCCACGTAATGAAGGGTTTAAGGTGTATTTAGTCCGGGGCGTTACTGGTAACGTCCCACATAAAGTGTCTTAACTATCATAAAGTCTACTTAACTACAGGCCATTGCAGTGCAGAGTGCCTTTTGACCTCCTGGTAGTCGAGTGAGTCTTCGTGGTCGAGTCCTTCAAGTCAGTCGAGTGAATCCCTCGTTGGTCGACTGGAAGGTGACCTCTTCTAAGGGTGTCCTTGGACAGGGTACTTAGATTAGGTCTGTGACCCTACCCTAGGTACATGACCCCATCATTAGCCCCCGAATGGATTGAGGCTTTGAGTGACGGAGGAGTTGATGTTGTTTCCGATTGACCTTTGCACACTGGTCGTGCGTTGTCCTGAATCCAGAGAATCTCTTCGTTGATAGTGAGCAACTCGCCTTCAGTCGACTCGATCCATTCTTTTCTTTCGTTGAGTGATCTTTCGGGCTTCGTCGATTTCCGAGCGACGGATCGCAGGAAATCCCGCGCCTGACAGACTGATCTGCCGTTAGCGGATTCCGCGGGATGCGAAATTTGGGGAAACGCGCGAAGCGGAGCGGACTGCGGCGTTCGGATGGGACGGGACATAGATGCCTCGATTCTCGCGTTGCTTTCTTCGCCACGTATCTCGCCCGTGTAACAGTTCCAGGATATGATTAGATCTGCCGGGTCCACCTGTCATCCACTCGGAAGGGATCTTATAAATGCGCCCGGCGGGGGTTTTTTGAACGGTGCTTCAACATTCTCTCTCTCTGCCTCCTTCGTCTCCGCCCAACGCGCTCGCTCTTGCCCCCGCACCACTTCTCCTCACGCGCCCCGCCGGAAGCCATGGTCAAGGAGAAGACGGCGGCGCTGGAGCGCGCGAAGAAGGCGTCGGCGACGGAGAAGGCGAAGGGGAGATCCACCAGCCGCGGTGGGTCTTCGTCCAGATCCCGCCTGCCGAAAGGCTGGGTCCAGGGAGATTGGATCCAGTCGACCATCACGGAGAAGGACCTCCTCGACATGGCCAACGAGGGCCTGATCCCCCATGGAGCTGCGAGGCTTCCGGGGAAAGAATGGCAGCCCCAGCCGGAAGAGGGTGAGTGCGTGCTTCTGGCTACCCATGTCGACCGCGGATTCTCTTTGCCGCCGAGCGTTTTCTTCCGTGGTTTCTTGAACTTTTTTGGAGCGCAACTCCACCACTTCACCCCGAATTCTATCGCCTATCTTGCCGCGTTTGTGTCCATGTGCGAGAGTTTTCTGGGCTGTCGATCGCACTGGGGCTTGTTCAAGCACATATTCACATGTCGCTCTCAAACTGTGAAGAAGGCGAGTCCAGGCGACGAAAGAACCCGAGTGGTCCAAATGTGTGGAGGTCTGGGGATCCAGGTGAGAAACAAGAGCACCTTCCCAGCTATGACATTTCCCGAGTCAGTCAGAGGCTGGCAGTCGACTTGGTTCTACTGCCAGGACGAGTCGACACCGGGGCAGTCGAGTGGGCTCCCTCCATTTACCATGGACCGAGTGAACAAGCCCTCCTCCCTGAAGCTGATTCCGGAGGAGAAAGCTGACGTGAAGATGTTGATGGAGCGCGTAGTTCAGTTGGTTCGGGAGGGAGTGACGGGCATGGATCTCCTGGAAGTTTTCCTTAGGCGCCGAATCCAGCCTCTTCAGTTCCGGAGCCACTGCATGTGGTTGTACTGTGGGACTGAGGACGTGACTCGGGTTAACCCAGAAACAGTCGACGATGCCACTCTGGAAAGGTGGATGGCCGCTGTTACTGGGAACAAGGATAACCCTCGCAGAGCCAGAAGGATTCCTCCACTCGACTGCCACAGTGACCCAAACAAGGTACGTCTGCTCCACTTCCCATTGTATTTTTGTCGTATTTATTTCTGTTTTCTCTGTCGTTGGTCGACTAATCTTTGTCTTGTTGTCCATCAGGCCCTCATTGAACTGTACTCAATGCCCAACGGAACGCAGGCTCCGACTGAGGAGGGAGAAGCGAGCGGGGGTGAGAGTCAGGAGGAGGAGTGGGACTCGGACGCCGCCGAGGCCGATGATGATGACGATGACGATGATGATGATGACGATGAGGACGGCGAAGAGGAGGAGGAGGAGGAGGTCGCACCACCGCGCTCGGAAAGGCGGTCGAAACTTGTTCATGACCCTGCGACTGAACGCGGCGAGGGGGTCGCGACTGTTACTCAGTCGACCAAGCGTCCCCGGACCACCTCTCCGGCGCCGACTGAAAAGGCGCCGAAGCAGCCCAGGGCGGCCCCGTCGAAGCCGACCAAGCACCTGCCGAAGATGAAGGTGTCCATCCCCACCATATCAGGGTAATCATATTGCTTACGTCTTCTTGTTTTGTGTGAACTTTATCTCTGGTTGGCGCTGGAGTTAGTCGACTGACTCTTTGGAGTTGCAGTGCTGCTACTTCCGAGACCTCGGCCCGGGCTGATGACCATGAGATGGAGGACGCAGCAACCTCAAAACCAGGTACTATACTCTTAACGCCGTTTTTAGTCGACTGACTTATGATCTATAATCCTGATTCTTCTCTGTAGCTCCACCCAATGTTGTTATCACTTTCCCAGATGATGATGAAGATGAGGAACCGCTGAAGCACAGAAGGAGTAGGAAAACGTCTGCCAGCAGGGTGCCTCGGGATGTGACGGCGCCTGAGACTCTGGTTGCGGAGGAGGAGAACACCACTCGACACACTGTGTCCTTCGCAGATCCACTGACGAGTGCTCAGCAGCCCTCCCTCTTCATGACGCACCACGTCCCAGAGGACCAAGATGGCGCCGCGAAGGAGGCGATACGCCAGGCAGGGATCATGATGGAGCAGTTAAGGACCATCCGGGATGCGAGCCAGGCAGCTTACGACGCCAGTTCCGCCCTTCAAAGCAATGTTCAGGTCAGTCGACCATCGTCTGTTCTATTAGGATATGCTATCAAAAACTTTTCTTTCCAACATCTACGGTAGTCACCCACTGGATGTGTCGATTTAGACTCCGTGTTAGCGGGGGCACGCTGAGTGCACCCGCTGGGTGTAGTCCCCAAGGCTAAGGTCGACTGCTGGCAGTCGGCCTTAGGCTTTATAATTTCAGTCTTTCCGTCATTCGACTATGGCGAATGGATTTCGAAAGCCGGTCGACTGGTCGACTCTGTCTTCAATAGGATTAGTGGGGGCATGCTGAGTGCACCCACTGGGTGTAGTCCCTGAGACTGTGGTCGACTGCTTGCAGTCGATTACAGTCTTTTAAAGAATACATCATTTTATTTATTTATTTATTTTTTCGAGGTCGACTGGTCGACTCTATCTTCGATAGGATTAGTGGAGGCACGCTGAGTGCACCCACTGGGTGTAGTCCCCGAGACTACGGTCGAATGCTTGTATTCGGCTGTAGTCTTGGAAACGTGTGATTTTTCCTTTTTCACTCGGAAGTGAATTATATTTGACATTTAGTCGATTGGTTCTTCGCAGAACTCCTGTGATCTTGTGGCTCGCTACTCTGAGCTGGAAAACAAGCACATTCAGCTCGAGCTGAATTTGAAGCTGGTTCAGGAGAATCTGACGAAGGCAAAGGAGGAGACCGAAGGTATGTTTGGTGAGACCTTGACGACTGCTTTTTCCCTTCGTTTGTTTCAAAATCTGATCTTGCTGTAACTTGCAGGTAAGGTAAGGGAGGCCCAACAGAAAAAAGACCTTGAATTAGCTGAGAAGATCAAGCTTGCTGACGAGAAGTTAGCTTCAGTCACCAAGCTTGAACAAGACAATACCAATCTGAAAGCTGCTCTTGGGATCGCCAACAAGGAAGTCAGTCGACTGAAAACTGATAAAGCTGCCCTGACAGACCAAGTCAGTAAGTTGACTGGGAAGAAAAATGATCTGGAGTCCTTCCTGAGTGGTCTTGCCAAGAAGCTGTTCCTTATGCTTGAAGGTAAACCTCTATGCTCGGTAATCATTTCCAATCGT